GCCCCCCCCCCCCCCGAACAATTGAGACATGTTTCGCGGCCGCACTCTCTTTTCCTCCCTGTTTCCCTTTGTCTCGTCGATTATGCATCCCTGGGCGCTTGTTCTCCGCGTATTATTCGCTTCTCTGAGGGTACGAGCGAGCCTGCTTCTGACAGTTTCGTCGCGGAAGCTGTAATTTTGAGAGGTAACACGTGGGGCAGGAACGGTTCCGCCTTACGTTCGGATAACTGAGCGTTCTTTTATTGCGGAAACTGTTGAGAAAATATGAACGTCAGAGGAGCTAATTTTCTTTCTTATGAGAAATGTCATTTTTTTTTTTTGGACCTTAGTAGAATATCAGTAACTGTGAAATTGTTATAGAGACAGCTCTAGATGTTTCTATTAGGTCATCCTAAATTAATTTCGAAGTAGGTTACCAAACTGTGAACATGATCTTTTTCTAGTGTGAACTATGTATCGATCGGGGAGATTCATTTGTGTATTTCTTTCTCTTAGGGGTTCGGATTTTTATATACGCGGCATTATCCAATACTCTTGTAATATGTTGGCAAAAGTGCATCGAATATTAAGGAAACTATTTTAAAATAAGAGCGTTCAATTTCAGTGGAGTTGTGTCATTTCCAAAATGAAGAACTTTCAGGATGAACTAATAAAATTTTTAAGGTAATATCAAAATATAAAAATTTTAGTTCGCTCAATATTATCTCGTGTCATTGTCGTCTAAATTTATTTAGCAAAAGATCTGAAAGACAGTAAAAGATACACATCGTAAACACAACTCTCGCGAAATATTCATTTACGATACTCATTTACTGAATAACATTTCTAAAACGCGTGATAAAAGAATAAAATAACTATTAATCACGTACACCATTATAATCGACGTGTACAGTGCAAGTGACGCAGCCGTTAAAATCGCTTCTCATTGTGTACGACGCAGGGGATGCTAAGGTACAAAAGGGAAGATTCATCCGCTTCTCACAATTCCTATAATCTTCCTCCCATCTCTTTACTTCTAGATGGTATTTCTTGTGAAAAATGATGTATCGTTAAAAACGACGTACAAGGATACACGTTTACAAGTGAACGTACTTCGTGCAAATAGAATGTAAGTGGTTGGAATGTTTGTGTTCCAACGATACACTTCTTACGTTCGCATCGTAAATCCTTGAGTAACACCGAGCAAAGACAACTGACAGTAAATAACAAAGAATACGTGTCAGATGCTACTTGTAATTGACGTCAAAGGAACAACTGCATTTAGTAACAAATAAAGAAGAAAGATGCACATATGGATTCGTAGCGCGCATTCAATGGTTGCACATGTACCTACACATTGCAGAGCACAAACGTTTTCAAGACTTTTGAACTTTGAAAGAATAATTTGATAAAACCAATTGTATCATTTCATTATACGGGGTGGTTAGTAACTGGCAGAAAATAAATCGAAAATGTAGAATAAAATTTGTTCACATAAGGCTTTATCTCCGAGCAAATCGACTTTAAATTCTCACCAGGTACTTGATTATGTCTCGACCTAATGTATTCCGCTGCAGCTTACTGTCTCGGTTCAGATTTGTATTTATTGCACTGAGTAATCAAGAATACACAATAAAACAGAATACTAACTTACGATAAATTTTATAATTAGAGAAATTGTTGAAAATATCGCCCCTTCTGCCGAAATTTCTATGAACGCTTTCTAACGTGTTGTGCTGTTTTAATTGATCGAACGCGAAAGTGATTCTTTCCTTTAATCGGTCGAAACTTGTAATTTCTTCGGAATAGACAGCGGAATACATTAGGTCGAGACATAGTCAACTGTACGTGTACCTGGTGAAAATTTAAAGTCGATTTTCTCGAACACAAAGTCTCATATGAACAAATTTTATTCTACATTTTCGATTTATTTTCTGACGTAGAACTACCCCCTTTCGACCATCCTGTACATCATTTCTTATTATCCCCTTTTGCGTAATATTATTAACACTCAGACGTCATTACTCAAAACATCAAAATTCTTGAAAATTGTAGTCGCGCTAGAGATATGCTCCGCAGTGGTAGGTTCACAGTGCACAGTGATGAATTTTTCGAAACTCATACACGAGTTCATAGCGCTGAAAGGGTTAAAGGATCATAAATAAAGTGTCTACAGATCATCGATCCCGTCGACAGGGACCACGGACGTTCGTGTTTCGGCGAACGTTCGGATATATAGTTCGGTTGCGGGAAAGCGGGAGAGAGCTCTTATACGAATTGGCTGGATTCCAAGGACGAAGTCGGCAAGAAGGAGGCCCTTCTTTCTTTGTCCTTGCTAGCTTCCTTTCATCTCCTGCCGGGCTCTCTTTTAGCGAGACGAAGATCTGAGGAATAGTTGAGAGTTTGGCCCGATAGTTGGATGAGCGGCATTTCATTCCGCTTGAAATTCCACGAAACATGTGGACGACCGCAATGGAATCGCGGCAGCCAGGACGAAATCTTTGCCGGGCGAATCAAACGCAGCGAACATTCACGGAATTCTTCTTGCACGACACGCACTGCACCTCTTCAACGGAGATTTTGTTTACGAACAGGCTCACGTTCGAGCGTCGAGCGCGAAACATCGTCTTCGTTTACGAATCGGTGGATCCGCGAAGGGAAAACTTTTCAACCAGGATGCCGCATGTTCATTTCCTCGCGAACATTCTGCCCTCAAAGATTACCGCCACCCCGTCGACGATCTAGCGACATGAAAATTTCTCGCCAACTCGCCGTGTAGAATTTCAATGAAAATCATATCTTATTCGTGATATTTCACGGATTACACCGTGATGAAACTGTAAGCTTCATTTAAGCTGAGCAGGGCAGTTGGTAGAAACTGGCAGATATATTTACTAATTACACGTTGGTTAGCGTAAACAGCTTTATAGGAGTGACGCACAGGTGAAGGGGGTCTTTGGTATGATTCTCATGAGTCCTCACGCCGCCGGTGATCAAAGCCCTACGTTTATCAATGGGCATACATTCGACCATGACATTGAGAGCAGGATGAATGGAGACGCAGTTGTTATCGTTTCAAGTCAACGGTGAAGAGCCTAACACTCTATTGTTGATTGCAGAGGAGTATCTACTGGTAGTCGATGACTCGACGTCATCGCGATATCGAATGCTTTGGAAGATTGTGGCCATAGAGAGGGAAATGCGGGGGTGCTTTGTGGGAAGAGGATTGTGAAAATAGCAGTTACCCCAAACCCTTCGTGGCGAAAAATAAAAACAATACACAAATTTGTATTAAAAAATATTAATAATTGTAGGAGGTATTATTGTACCAATAGTCCGCATAGAGAAATGTATCTAAAGATCAAAATCAAAGAGATGATAAAAAAATATAAACTACAGAAATTCTGCAGGACCTCAAATTTTTCATTTTTCATTTGCTTATAAAATAGGAAAGAGAAATTATAACGTAACATTTGGGATTTTTGATAAGAATCCTGGAGATTTTAAGAAATGAGTTTCTGTTAAAAGCAAGTCTAAAGATTTGACTAAAATTAACGAACAAATGATTCTTCCTGGTGCAGATAAATAAAATGGAACATGAAACTCAGAAGCATTTCTCTTCTATGTTGACAAACTTCGAGCATAATCGAATTTAACTCCTATATATAGATCAGTTCTTTTCAATATTTTGAATAAATATTCCATTTGTCGAAAACTATTCTTTTTAAATAGTAACAAGATAAACGTAAGCATGCTCTCGTTATTAATGCAATTACTGGCATTTTGTGTACGATATGTTCTTGTATCCTCGCGAAAGACATTATGATTCATGAAAAGAATGCGACAATTTACAAGTGCGCCAATACTTGAGCATTCTTGAAACAACAATAGTTAGTCGAAACGATATTCTATGAAATCATTTGTTGCGGAATGTCGTTGTACGACATAAGTGCAGGTAGCGCAGGTGCGCAGGTGTGCCTCATTGTATTCTATGTCGTTTGTTAATCGGTGGACCTCTATTCATTAATGTCGTTTAAATAGCTGGCTGTTTGAGGGTGGAACGAGTAGTACGAAACGAACATGCATACGAAAGTGTTGTACATTTTTCTCCTCGTCATTGGTGCTGCTTGCGCCCGCCATCCTCCCTTTGGAAGAGATGTAAGATTTTACACTCACTTAAAGTTTTGTTTCTTATTTTCCTTTTAAAAATTTTATTATCTTATGGTAAAGTAGAGGCTCACAAACTTGTAATATGCGAATTTACAAAAATTCTTAGTATCTGTGAAGTCTTCCGTCGTAGCCTTCTCCTATTTTCATTTGAAAATTAATCAAACTGGACTTCAATATTTTGTATGAATTTCTGTATCAGGGGCCAAGATTTGAACCAGCAGATGAGAACCGCACCGAAGTAGCTCCAAACGATAAAGATACAAACTCAAATTCAACTGATGTATCTCTGGATCAAATACTTGGATTCTTAGGTTGGCACAAACCTAACCCACTGGTCCAGCTTTCGCGGGACGAAAGAGCCTTGACTGAAGAATCTCGCCGTCACTCTTCACGCGAACGCCGTCCTTCTTCACGCGAACGCCGTCCTTCACTAGTCGGCAGCCGTTCTCTAACGCGCGAACGCCGTCCTTCACTAGTCGGCAGCCGTTCTCCAACACGCGAACGCCGTCCTTCACTAGTCGGCAGCCGTTCTCCAACACGCGGTGGTCGTCCTTCTCGTCCTGGCCTTAGTCAATCACCTGGCCGCCCACATCGCCGTCCTCCACAGGGCCTCCCACATCGCCGTCCTTCACAGGGCCGCCCACATCGCCGTCCTCCACAGGGCCTCCCACATCGCCGTCCTTCACAGGGCCGCCCACATCGCCGTCCTTCACAGGGCCGCCCACATCGCCGTCCTTCACAGGGCCGCCCACATCACCGTCCTTCACAGGGCCGCCCTCATCAGAAACACCCAGGGAGCCCTCCTCAGCATGGCCGCCCAAGTCACCGTCCTCATCCTGGCCGCCCAAGTCACCGTCCTCATCCTGGCCGCCCAACTCACCGTCCTCATCCTGGCCGCCCAACTCACCGTCCTCATACCCGCCCAACTCGCCGTCCAAGTAGTACTTCTACTTCACCTACTACTACCACAACCACTGAAAAAGACGTAATCACGCAAGCCATTGATTCAAGCACCACTGAGTCGACAAGCAGTAGTAGCACTTCCACGACCGCCAGTACTACCTCTTCGACGACCAGCAGTACTACCCCTTCGACGACAAGCACTACTAAATCTTCGACGACCAGCACTACTGGCTCATCGACGACCAGCACTACTGAAGCTTCGACGGACGACAGTACTGAATCTTCGACGACCGGCAGTACTACATCTTCGTCGACCAGCAGTACTAGCCCTTCGACGACCAGCACTACTAGATCTTCGACGACTAGCAGTACCAGACCTTCGACGACCAGCAGTACTACCCCTTCGACGAGAAGCACTACTAAATCTTCGACGACCAGCACTACTGAAGGTTCGACGGACGACAGTACTGAATCTTCGACGACCGACAGTACTACATCTTCGTCGACCAGCAGTACTAGCCCTTCGACGACCAGCACTACTGAAGGTTCGACGGACGACAGTATTGAATCTTCGACGACCGACAGTACTACATCTTCGTCGACCAGCAGTACTAGCCCTTCGACGACCACCACTACTAGATCTTCGACGACCAGCAGTACCAGCCCTTCGACGACCAGCACTACTGGCTCATCAACGACCACCACTACTGAAGCTTCGACGGACGACAGTACTACATCTTCGGCGACCGACAGTACTACATCTTCGTCGACCAGCAGTACTAGCCCTTCGACGACCACCACTACTAGATCTTCGACGACCAGCAGTACCAGCCCTTCGACGACCACCACTGCTAGATCTTCGACGACCAGCAGTACCAGCCCTTCGACGACCACCACTACTAGATCTTCGACGACCAGCACTACTGGCTCATCGACGACCAGTACTACTGAAGCTTCGGCGGACGACAGTACTGAATCTTCGACGACCGACAGTACTACATCTTCGTCGACTAGCAGTACTAGCCCTTCGACGACCAGCACTACTAGATCTTCGACGACCAGCAGTACTAGCCCTTCAACAACCAGCACTACTGGCTCTTCGACGACCAGCACTACTGGCTCTTCAACAACCAGCACTACTGGCTCTTCAACAACCAGCACTACTGGCTCTTCGTCGACCAGCACTACAGAACCTTCAACGACCAGTAGCACTACTTCTTCGACAACCAGCACTACAGAACCTTCAACGACCAGTAGCACTACTTCTTCGACAACCAGCACTACAGAACCTTCAACGACCAGTAGCACTACTTCTTCGACAACCAGCACTACTGGCTCTTCGTCGACCAGCACTACAGAACCTTCAACGACCAGTAGCACTACTTCTTCGACAACCAGCACTACTGGCTCTTCGTCGACCAGCACTACAGAACCTTCAACGACCAGTAGCACTACTTCTTCGACAACCAGCACTACTGGCTCTTCGTCGACCAGCACTACAGAACCTTCAACGACCAGTAGCACTACTTCTTCGACAACCAGCACTACTGGCTCTTCGTCAACCAGCAGTACTACCTCTTCGACGACTACCACTACTGAGCGAAGCGGCCGAAACTCCCGTGACCTTAACGATATCGCGTGGAACATGCTAAACCAAAACAACTTTTCGATGCTGATGAACTTCAATCCTTTAGGCGACCTGGAGCCGGTGCTCGTGCAGGTTAACTTCAGCAAGGTGATCCTAGTGCCGAAGATTCCGCCACCACAGAATCTCAGCACATTGCCTGATCTTCCTAGCCTTAAGAAGCACATCGAGTACGCGAGAAACTTAACCACGCGTGCTCTTGGTGGTACAAATGACTTGGTCGACGCTTTGCAAAAAGCAACTGATAGTGCTATCCACAGTATCAACCCTGTAGAATCCCTGTCTGCCATGTTGAAACGGATCCTGCGTATCTACAACAACGTTGCTCTGACCTGTCCACTACACAGTGTGAAAATGGCTGTGCTTCGGGACGGTCTGCTAATTATTGGATCTGTCATTAAGAGTGTGATCTACGTTGCGGCGCAGGACATACAAGACATCATAGCCAATAGTTAAGACATTAAATTGTTACGGGGGATGTAATCGATGTATTTTCTAGATGTAAATAATATGATAATAAATTAGTATAGAAAGCAGTTTGGGTTGTTCTCTCTCTTCTTCATTTCTTTTTGTTTTATTAACCCTATGAATTTCAGTCCTTTTAATTTGATAGAGCTTGAAAGATGTTATCGGCTTTAATAAGTATCATACACGGTGGTTTTCTCGCTGGAAGCCCCAAACGATCCTCAACAACTTGGTAGACTATTCCTGCTTAGGCGTTTCACATACAGTCAGTGTGTATTCTTCGTTGTGAATTTTTCGAGAGTGTAGTATGAGTGGAGAAAAAATATTTCAAATCACGAAAAAATATGGGATGGTCAAGTGTTTTCTGGATAAATTCTTAGGTCACACGAATCGTAATATTTCTCTGCGACACGTTTTTAGTATTGCATTTTTTAGATTCATAGTTATTCGGTTTTTAACAATTAACAAACCTTATCGTATTACATGGCTTTGTGCCATTTTTCATTATGCATTCTCGCGTCCACGTGTTGCTGCTTACACGCGTAAGATATGAATGCAAATTAGCCCTGAGTTTATTAAACTGCCAACTAGTTTATTTGCTGTTATTATAAGTAAGTACCGTTGGGGAAAATAAAACTCAGATATTTTTAACGTAGTTTCAACATAAATCGAACAATATGATTAGAAGAATTACGGTTGATAACAGAATATGTTACTCGTTGCAAAAAAAAAAAAGCAGAAGGAATTTATTTTACTTTGCAAAGAAAATGTTACGATAACGTCATCCTCGCAAAAATTCTGTTCTCCGATATTAAAAGAAAATTTTAATTACAAAGTAATTTTGAAATAACGAGAAATTATTAATGTAACATTGATTATTAGCTTTTCGGTATTGTATTTCCTCTAAGAGAAACCTGTAGGCAGTTTCTCTTAACCAATCGTTTTTCATTTACACGTCGACTGCAATTAACGCAATATTTCTCTTCTTGCAAACTAGGAAATACACGGATCTCTAGAATTCGCGTAAAAATCCCATAAAAAACATCTCTTCGGTCGAACTCCTTCAGAAAATCTATGTGAATTTGACAAATTTTGCTTTGAAAAAAAAATCCATCTTAAAATCCACCGAAAAAGCATCCCTGTACCACGAAAATGCAAATAACGGAAACGGAAAGGTAAACACGGTTTTCACGTCCGTTGACCGATTCGCACTCCCCCGTCCTCCTAACAATCTGTTCCCACCTCATAAAATTGTCATCGTGCGTGCATAAAACATGAGGAGACACGTTCGAG